AACGCAGGGGAGCAGTGATGTAACCCCCATTGAAATCCTGTTGGACAGGCTGCTTAATGTATCCTTTTAAAATTATCGTTATATGTATCGTTGGAATGATGGGCATAACCGGACGTGAATAGTTTTGTTTTTAAAACTGTCACATTGTTACTCAGAATTTGACGGTTGAAACGAAACGGTACGTCTCGACTCCGTGCACTCGCATGCAAAAATATCTAAAAAGTAGAGAAAAGTTTTTATGTCGCTTGGTTTCCTTCCATCAGGTATTGTTAGAGTTAGAGCGAAGTCAAATAACGTTACTAAGAAGTATAGTGAATGAATTCAGTGTATTCAATTATGAATTAATATTTTGACCCATCAATTGGCGTAAAAACTTGACTTTTGATTTTTTGTTTTTCGGCACTTCATTAGAATATAAACTGGATTGCATTTTGCAAAAAGGAACCAGGAGCAATGCCATGTTGCTAAGATTGTGGAATTTCATCCTTTAAAATAAAATTACTGTAATCATGCAAAAATATGAAATATATATGGTAATTTTTGTCTTAAATTTGTAGTAATTGTGTAGAATAAAAAATGTCTGCAGATGATCAGGGCTTTCCTTCCAAGACAAAAGAGGTTGCACAATCATAGCACCATTGCAGTGATCTTGGTTCCTTCACTGGAAAAAGAAACACATTGGATCTAGAGTCCAGACTCTTAAAAACATCGACGAGAAAAAGTACTCTTGATTCAATCAGAATCTAGCTTAAATCAAGAACCAAGCCTCTTAATTTAAGCGGATTTCGTTTTGATTCAAGCAAAAATCCGATTGAATCAGGAGTATTTTTTCTTGTCAATGTTTTCAAGAGTCTGAACTCTATTCAATGTGTTTTTTTTCCAGTGTTTTTGCAAAATGCAATCCAACTATCAATATACGATAATTTGTTACACGACAATGCTTCAAGAAAATATATTACCCTTTGAAGCGCTGATGCAACGATGAGTCTCGGCAAAGTCTGAAATTACATCAACGTCAACGATTTGACGGTCGGCACCGATTCGTTGCCATCGCGTGTGATCGTAGAGGCAATGATTGCGGCCTGTCAAGAATGTTATTGACATCGAAGTGCGTGTACGCAAATCGAGTTGTAGGTTGGATCGAGGATAAATCACCGGCAAGCGATCCTGCGGTTCGGATGCAGTGAAGGAGAGGTACACTGCCGTGCTAAGGAAAAACGCCGTATGAACATCCGACAGTTGCCACATTTCCCTCGATAAAATGTTCATTTATGAGGAAATTTTTGAATATTTTTCCTCAAAAATTTCAGGAAATTTAGGTGAAATTGTGAACAAAATTATCTGAAAAATTGGAAGGAAAATATTCATATGTTTACCAAGAAATTCGTGTTTTATCAAAGAAAATTTGGCAACGCCTGAAGGCTCATACGGCGTTTTTCCTTAGCACGGCAGTACATTAGAAGCTATTATGCGTCAGAGCGTGCAGAGTGAGAGCCGCATTCACACCACCGTGAACCTAGTCTCATAGCACATCCGATGATGATAGCTTTTTTATGGAGAAAATTCAGCTGCCGGAACGAATCCATGGGTAATGTGACGCTAATTCCCAGCATAATGCGAAATTTTGCAGCTTGGTCTGGAAATGAGCGTCATTACGAAGAATTTTCAAGGTTTTCAGAATTTGGCGCGGGCGGGAAAAAAGAAGTATGCAGAGTAAAAGCACCACAATACAAGGGAATAGGGCCCTAAAGTTCTCCTCCCCAAGCAATTGACAAATCATTGCTCTCATTTACAGTCCATTTTCATGCAAAATCTTACTAGTGGGGAGGATATCTAATAATGGGACAGAAGTGTATTTTAAAGAGGACAGGAGAGAGGATTGCCGCTTTCTTGAAGGGACAATTTGGAGTATATAGCACTCTCTTTTACTCATATAACCTCAGTTTCCCCGTTGAAAAACAAAGTGGATGAGGAGGAATAAAAAGCTCTTTAATTATTATTACTTAAATTTTCATGCTGAGGATGGCAGTATAAGGTTAACATACCTATATCTGTTTCTGATGGTAGAAATAAAAACATTTCTGGGGAGTCACGTGGAGCATCAGATGACGTACCTATAGCTGAAAAATTGTCTTCAGGAATGTTTATTCATTTTTTTGGCAAGTGAGGACGAAGACCTTTCGCCTCGCCTAACGAAAGTCCACGAGTCTTACTTCGTACCGAACTAGCCGTTAGATGTTCATTAATATTGAAACGATGTATCTCTCTTGTTAAATAGTTCTCCAACAAGAAACGAGTCTTGTAGCACCATGCGCGGCTTGGGGTGCGCCACAATTAGAGGGACGGCAAGCTCAAGTTAGGAAAAGAATGAGAGAATAAAGGTCGGCCGAAGAGAGGAAGAGGTGATAAAATATGCCAAAATCCACCAAGTCATTGACATCGCATTCCATCGTTTGAAATCTCTTCAACACGAAAATACTTTCAAAATGGTTCTTGCATCCACTTACTGTGTTGCATTGAATAAAGTCTGTATCATTTCATAATTTTTAATTCTTCCGCGATTTCTTTGATAATTTACAGCGCTTACTATACATAGTATTTAATGGAAGACGAAAATCTTGAATCTTGAAGAATCTTGATTTACTACGAAAGGAAAATAAGATCACGCATTGAATAAGTGAGGTGCTTGTCCGTTTGATCTTCCCGAGCTTTTTTTCGGCCAATCAGACACCGACGACCTTTTCTGCATTTCTAAAGGAAAATAGCATGGACAATCATCTTATTCTTTCGAATTCAGCCGATTTTTCGGCAGAAATATGTCTATTAGCATCTCGGGGTTTAGGCGTTCCTGCGTATTGATGTATAATAATGTTCTACTGGCTCCAAAGAAATCAAAGATCTTGAAATTTCAATTCTCCTTTACCACTCACTCGTATTTCTCTGCTCAGCTTTGACTTCAATTTTGCGGACTCATAAAAGCGGAATTTGGAAAAGCGCTATTTTGCTAACCTTGCGTTAAAGTCTCTGAAGCATTGCTTCTTTAAAGTGTTAGTATAATGAAGTATGTACACACATTTGGGGTATATTAGATGTATAAGCGGAGAACGACCTGAATATAGGGCAAGGCGCTTTTTTCTTATAACCCTGCGTTAAAGTCTCTGACAGACTTTTCTTTTGTCGGATAAAATAATAAAAATAAAACACAATTAGAATTGAGCCACGGGCCGATTCGTCAAATTGATAGACCAAGGGAAAATGGGGCGATCCTATTGGTGAAAAAGGGTGGTTACAATGGACAAAATAGGTGAGTAATCGACTAAGCAAGGCAACCCACAGGAGATTCCGTAGTTAGACCATCATTTTATTCCCTTCGAGTCCATAAGGGCCTTCCGCTTCAACCAATAGAATTGCTCCGTTTGTCTTCTTTGTCTATAAATTTCAGTAATCAGCCAGCAGATGTATTTAGGTTAACTGCCCATTGAAGAAAAAAAAACACACATTGGATCTAGAGGCCAGACTCTTAAAAACATCGACAAGAAAAAGTACTCTTGATTCAATTAGAATCTAGCTTAAATCAAGAACGCAAACCTCTTAATTTAAGCAGATTTCGTTTTGATTCAAGCAAAAATCCGATTAAATCGAGAGTATTTTTTCTTGTCAATGTTTTCAAGAGTCTGGACTCTAGATTCAATGTGTTTTTTTTCCGGTGATACCTATGGATACAGCCGTCCTTGTGCTGCGTGGTGACTTCTCACGTGTCCACCGCATTGCACTTTCGCGTCACATTTGACAACGAGCTTTGGGCCACGGAGCCCGCGGCATACCGCGACCACAGCTGAGAAGGTGGAGCGAGCGTTAAGCGTGAGCGTAAATGATTCAAAGATGGTCGGGAAAGTTCACTACGCCCAAACTTGTTCAGACTCTTGGCTCGGCTTTTTCGTCGGGTTCAGAGAGCTGCTGTTAAGTCCAGCAGCAGCGTCACGAGACCTATCCTCATTCTCCACAGCATCCAGTCCACAGAACACATAACAGCTCTGCGTCGCGACAGACGCCTCGTGTCACCCGCTCTGCCGTGCTAAGGAAGAACGCCGTATGAGCAATCAGACGTTGCCAAGTTTCCTTCGATAAAAACCGAATTTACTGGGAAAATTTTGAATATTTTTTCCCCAAATGTTGAGACAATTTTTTACGCAATTTAATCTAAAATATCCGACAATTTCAAAGAAAATGTGCATGAATTTCGTCAAAATACATATTTATCAAGGAACACTTGGCAAATCTCGAATGTTCATACGGCGTTTTCCCTTAGCACGGCAGCGCTACAGAGAGGAGGGGGGGGGGCAAGGGGTCAAGGCGATGCACTCACTCACCACTGCCGCACGTATGGAACGTCTTCGAGCTATGTTAGTCGACACCAAAAAATTAATTTCGCCACCTTTATTAGTTGCCTCCAGTTAAGGCTCAGCGTTCAATATTCATTATGATGTTGAATATCGATGGCCAAAGTGCAAAACCGCGCATTGCCATTTTATTTTTTTGAGAAAAAACATGTCAACCCTTGAGTTTTTAACGGGAAATTTCTTTATCACTTTAAGAAAAAAGGACCGTTGCTCTTCTAATGTTGAAACGGACTTTGGGTTCTCTTTCAATATTCTATTCTTCGTTACAATGTTATACTTTCGCGGCAACAATTAGTTTAGTCTTGACTAATAATGCTACATTGTTACCACACCCGAGAAAGTCGTTAGGTACTACGAAAGTAACGTTGTAACCATGACCAAAAAAGTAGAACCTGGAATTACTATGAACATTGTAAAAGCTACGATTGCTTCTCCTTCATGTTGAGATCGTATTTTATGATTTTCATAACATTTTGAGAATCAATGGCCTTTGATCCCAAATCGGTGCGAAATTCTTCAACAATCCTTCCCAATTCACTGAAAATTTAAGATTTTTGCTGCATTTAAAACTAAAACCAATGCGAATTGTTATGATTTCAGATCGAGGATGCAGGGAAGTAGAGCAACATCGACAGTGGTTTCGGCGATACAGCGTCGGCACAGACACCAACTCCATCACATCCGCAAGCGGTCATCAGCTGCGGCCGCGACGACAGAGACCATCACTCCAGAGGCGGAAGTGGCCGAGTGCGCTTACGCCAAGCCTTACAGCGAGCTCCCTGGGCCAACTCCGATCCCCATTCTTGGCAACACTTGGCGCCTTTTACCAGTTATAGGTATTCAAACATTCAGTTATTGGTAACTACTCCATTCCACTTGCAACCCTCGTAATAGACTGCTAGATCATTGGCGGATCCAGCTAATGGCAACATTGTATTTTCTCCATTTGAACCCATGGAAATGTACCGATTCTCAGAGAGGACATGTGCTCCGACAAAATTTGATTATTTATCATAGATTTAAATGGAGGAACTGCGGTGTTGCCAAATTTCTAGATCCACCTCTGTGCTAGATAGGGTAAAGAGGACATGCACAGCATCAGGATGTTTCTCCAGTTTCTTCTGGTCATTTGAGACTCCCGCTGTCTAATCAAATCTGGAATTTTGTTCATGAAAGTCATGACTTTTCCTCATTTCACGTGTGGGGGCGAGGGAGTTTGCGGACGTAGCTCCCCCTCTCTTTATTTATATGACCCGGTTTATTTTGCCTCCTCTTTCGTCTAACTCCGTAATTTTACCTGTGCAAATAAGATCCAAGTTATTCGTAAGAAGTTGTCATCAGCTAAGATCAATCATTTTCAAATAATTTTTTGTCGAGCATATTTTTTTTTCCATTTCTTTTACGTTTCATTGTTTGTTGAACAGGACAATACGATATCTCAGATTTAGCGGATGTGTCTCACAAATTGTACCGAGATTACGGGAAAATCGTTCGACTGGGCGGTCTTGTGGGAAGGCCTGACTTACTCTTCGTCTACGATGCAGACGAGATTGAGAAAGTGTACAGGAATGAAGGAGCAACTCCGTTCAGACCTTCGATGCCTTGTCTTGTCCATTACAAAAGTCAAATCAGGAAAGATTTCTTCGGCAGACTTCCTGGTGTGGTAGGAGTGTGAGTACTTATGCATTATAGAACCAAACTCTCTCGCCAGTTACGCATTCCCAGGCTCAGAATCACGCATTTTTGGCCTTAGTTACGCATCTTCACAACTTTGACCATATTTAACCTAAAATCACTAAAAAAGGGGTTACATTTACTAAAAAAAAAAATTGCGTAAGTGCAATGGCGCATCGTGCATAATTACGCAGAAACGCGTAACTACGCACGCAGTGGCAACACTGAAAAGCACATGTTTCCTACTGGGTCATTTGGGAAGGGCGTAGAGTACCCCCCCCCCCTAAGGTTTCACATTCACTCCGTTTCCAGAAACATCAAATCCCAACCCAATACCATTATTTAGTTCACACCCTGTCTTCTGTCTGTTGGTCGTTTTCAGAAATTCATCCAACGATTAGGGCTTCCGATATTACATTCTATCTTAGCGAAGGCAAAGTGCTAGTTATACCTTGATGATTAAGCACTAAGTATTTGAGATGGAAGGTGAACATTCAATTCTTCTTTCAAATTCAAAAAGAAGAAATTTTCAAATTTCCAACTCATGAGAGCACAAGAGATAATGTTCATTACATATACTTTAACTCTGAGATTTCATGTAATGCCATTGCAGCGATCATTGAGGAATGGCTCAGCCATAGAGCGTGTTAAAACACAAATATAACTGACCATTAAATTGAATATTTTAACATGTGTAAATAAACAGATTAAATGGATGTATTTATTAGAGTGAGTGTCGAAATTGATCCGATGTATGTGTCAAAATAATCCTCAGGTGCGAAAATTGACGATGCGCTGGCAACAAAGCGCGTTCCCTTGAAGCTTCTCCTAAATTAACATATCCAAACATTATCAGCCAGAAATCGTGCGAAAACCATTTTGATATTTCATTGGCGTATTCCTTAAGATCATTCAACTCACGAGAGAACTCTCTTGTGGGTACTCTCCTCAAGAGTCATGTTCGTGCGCTATATATTCGTCGTCATAGCTTTGCCATGATGTAAGTTTTCAAATGTTCTAAAATTGTTTTGCATTTTTGCGTAGACATGGAGAGCCGTGGCGAGAATTTAGAACAAAAGTACAAAAACCATGTTTGCAAATTCAAACTGTGAAAAAGTACATCGAGCCCATAGAGGATGTCACGAATTATTTTTTAACCAGGTGAGTTCATAACATACTTGTCTAACATTTAGAAACAGGTCTAATGTCAGAAATTGGAATTGCCCATTACTTATGGTTACTTTACCCTTTTTCTTTCGGGAAAGAGGAATTATTGACGATATCTTTTGTTTTTTGTTTTTTTTTTGGATAACGGGTGTTTCTGCAACACTCAGTCCACGAATAAATTTTTGGGTGGAAGCCTAATGTTGCATCAATTCATAGACAGGAATATAACAATCGCATCTGCAAATTATTGCAGTTTGGAAGAAAAACGCAATGTACCGTCCGCTGTATCGCAATTTTTGACAAGAATTGTGCCTAGACTCTGATTTTAAGGCGCTGAAATTATCGCAACCTAGAATTTGCTGCAATCCCTGATGCGGCTACTCGTTGCGTATCTTCTTTATTCTTGGAGCGGAAATTATCAGCGGCCTCCCCTTGTATCTTATAACAAAAGTATTTCATACCGTTTAAGGAGGACTGATGGAGGATGTAGTCCAGTACCACGTGCATTTCAGAAAAACACTTAGATTTTACGGACTTAAATCCAACATTATTCTCCATTTACCTCTCTGTAAGTGTGGAACTCTGATTTTAACGTCTTGAAAATTACAGAATGATAGAGATGAGAGACTCAAAAGATGAGCTGCCGGCGGATTTTGATAATGAAGTTCACAAATGGTCTTTGGAGTGTGAGTAGCCTATAAATATTATTTTTCCCCTCGTTTTTCTTCAAGTAAAAGTGATAAAATATTTGTAATTGGGTCATTCCACGTCAACTGTGCCAGTCTCGGAACCCGATACCCTCCGATTTGGCTGAAAATTGGTATACGGAGTCTTTACATGATTCTAAGAAACTAATTTGAAGGGTTTTCCCATCCGACGCCCCGTTCGCGAGATATCGATCCCCAAAGATGGGGTGAATATTAGCGATATTAAACAAGCCCGTTTTAGCGATTCTCATTTTCTCGACTTCCCTCTCTTTGACTCTCCATAGCGAGACTCTGTATCCATCCATCATACTTGGAAAGAGAGTATCGAAATTAATTTTTCATGTAGATTTTGAATATGCCATCGAAATTGAGCTAAAAATTATTTAAATGGCCGTAATTTAGGGTTATTTAAAATTTACTATTTTTTCGCCATTTAATGTTCAAACTGAATTATCTAAAAAACTGTCTCTCCGATTTTCGATATTTTTTTTATACTTCAAGCTTAAGATATATACTTTTGGTTGATGTGTTACTGGAAGTTACTGGAATGATGTAAAGACCCCGTATACCAATTTTCAGCCAAATCGGAGGGGGTCGGGTTCCGAGCCTGGCACAGTTGACGTGGAATGGCCCAATTCGAAGTTAATACAGGTGCTTAATAAATTATGTGCACTTGAAAAATAGTTCCAAGGTTTTGCACCGCAAAATACGCGTTTATTAACGCATGATCTTCGCTTGAAATTGAACAGAAACTACGAATGAGGTCTTCGTCGAGGTGCCAATCTGGAGAGGGCGGAGAGGAAAGAGGGGAGGAGGGTGGGAGAGGGGTAATGGAAAGTATACAATTGCAGCGAAGTTGTGACACAATGTCTCAGAACGTGAAGACTGAAGAGTGGAGACCTACTTCGCCCTGCCTGCATGAACGCTTGACTGGTGATGTTTTGTGTCCATCGCACAATTTATAACGCCACGGTTCACAGAGTTATCACAGAATCGCTGAATTTAGATTTCAGCTGCTCCTCTTTTGGCAAAAATACGGATTTTTTCATCAAAATTGGATCGGATAAAGCTCCTAAGAGTTCCAGGAATTTCAGATTTCATAAATCGTTCTTAGGTAAAATTTTTGGGAAAAAGCGAGAAAAAAAAGAAGAATAAAAAGTCGCAAAAACTAGTTACAGATGAATTTGTGAATCTCCTTTTTTTTGAGCGGATAGGCCATACGACATTAGCCAAAGTTCGAACTTAAAAAAGTAATACCTATGTTTAAGATCTTACGTAGAAACCGATACACCTAACGGGAGTTTGAAAATCAACCTCTGAGACAAGATGCTAACACAAGTATTTACAACACAGGTCAAATAAAAGTCAAATTATGAAAATGGTGTCATTTGTATTTTAGCCATTTAACCAATGTCAGTTGGTTGATATGTTGTGAAGTAATTTACTTCATACTTTGTTTAGTTGCCCATTCTGAACATGAGCAAAGATCCACTCCACTCACCAACCTTTGCTTTTGAATTTGTCCGAGCACGGTGCAATAATTTAAATCGGCGAATGAGTGAGTATAACTAAACTTGTTAAAGTTCAAGAACTTCGATATGAGTCAAGTGCAAAGTCAAGAAAATTACCGGTCTTTTGCTACCGATTTAATTGTCCTGCCGGTCGTTGAGAGCAAGCCTAGAAAACTTGTGAATGAGATTTAATTATATACCGCACGGCTCGAATATTTATCGTAGTTGTTGAAGCGTGACGCGCACTTCGTCGCTCCTCTGACGTGAGGGCGTATCTCTATTACCACATGGACCCCGGAAAGTATGGGTTTATATGGACAACAGAGCTCACGTAGAAATTGAGATATGCTCTTATATCAGAGGGACGGCGACTTGTGACATGCGTAAGCTTATTAATGTGACTCTTTGCGAGGAAGAAATCCGCTATCCATGCTTTTATTCGCCGCACTACTGCGTCCGAGATCAGAAAAGGTACCAGTTTAAACTGAAAAAGTTGGAATGTAAAAAATTGAAACTTTTAAAAAGTCAACTCAATCACCTGTTACGTGTGAGAGAGTTGATTTTTAGGTTTCGATTTAAATTTCAACAATCTTGGACGAAGGGATCGTTTGTAAATTAGGTACGGAACGTTCTAGGAAGCGGGGGCGGGGATTATGATTTTTCCTCCTTGCTCTCTAACCCCATTTAGACTACTCAATTTCTTCCAGATTTTCCCTTTACGAACGGGATGAAATGTGATTTTGAATAATTTCGTATCGTGTTACAGGCATAGGGCGTGTGGCTTTAGACGCCCGCCTGGGATGTTTAGATCCTAATCTTCCAGCAGATTCGGAACCTCAAAAAATTATAGATGCTGCAAAGTATGCTCTGAGGAACGTAGCTATTTTAGAACTAAAATTCCCCTTTTGGAGGTATATTCCAGCCCGGATTTCACCCTTATGGAACAGATATGTTGGAAATATGGACTATTTCATTGAGTAAGTATTTTCAAACTTTAAATTTTTTTCATCAGAGTTATTAAAGACAAAATAATTCTATTCTGTTTTTATTACCTGCAAAACCATTTTTCATTCATTTTATTTTTCCAAATTTATGACATATCGCTGAACTCAAAAACTTTGTGTTTCGGAGTATGATCAAAATGTTTCACTTTCAATATTGAATTGCTTCCTTGCACTTGGATACATCAAGTACCTACCAACTTTATTATACACTTATTAAAAAAAAAGAAGAAAAAAAAGAAAAAAAAAGATCATAACTCTTACACTCGAAACCGATTGCTTGACTTAGATTTAGCGATACAGCACAAACAATCAAAAGTCTATCTACATGTGAATATGAAGTTTCGTCTTCCTACAAAGCTCTACATGATTAATATTTCTAACGTGCATCATCCCTTTTCAGAATCTGCATGAAGCACATCAACGAAGCTGTGGATAGACTGAAAACTAAATCAGTAGTTAATGAGAACGATTTATCTCTAGTCGAAAGAATTTTGGCAAGTGAACCAGACCCAAAGACCGCCTATGTTCTTGCCTTGGATTTAATTCTAGTAGGGATTGACACGGTGAGAAATTTATTCCTCGAAACAACTCCTAAATTCCTTATGAAATAAACTGGACAATTTTGAAGTATCGTAGTTGTGCAGTGTCCCCTACATAATAAAATAAAGAAATCGGACTTTTCAAATCTTGGGGAGGTGATATTTTATCAGAAGTAATTTTGATATATGTAACAATTTTAGGCCACGTCCGCAATATTGGATTTGAAAATTTTCAAAAATTGACTAAATATTTGAGTTTCCGTCGAAAAATACCCCACGACACCGAATTTCAGAAAAATCTATCGAACAGGAGCCGAGATGGCATTTTAAGCCACGTCAGTCATTTCGAATTTTTGGAGTTGGTAAATGTGACTTAAAACGCGTGATACCCAAAATCGAAGCTCAGATTCGGATTCCTCGTTAAAAATCGATGCTATTTCATGTATCATACCAGATCATAGCATGAAGGAAAGAGACGTAATACGTAGATATACTGATTCGAGCATATGAATCCAACGCGGCAACATGGGTAGTGCTCAGTGGGTCAGCGGAGGAGGAAGAATAAGAATTTATCCTGAGGAATTCCTCGCGACGAAACCGAACGCTTAGCGCCGGCGTCTCCCCGTTCGGTTTCACTCGGGCGACCGGCGGCGGCGTAGTTCAGAGGGGTAGTACGACAGAATCTATACGCGTTGTTTAACCTCTTTCCTCAACGCTATGATAACATATGATACATGAAACTAAATCGATTTTTCGCGGAAAATCCGAGTCTGAGCTCAGATTTTGGATATTCACTTAATTGATAATATTGTGGCATAATTAATATTTGTATTAAATAATATTTAATTTTNATATATATATATATATATATATATATATATATATATATATATATATATATATATATATATATATATATATTTAATACAATTTTAATTTAAATTTGTTTGACATGTGTTGAGATTAAGTTTCGTGAGGTACAAACCACATTTGACACGTACCATAAGCTAAAACTCAGCTTCTGTATATACTTAATTGGAAAATAAAAAAATAAATAAATTAAGGCATTATTTAGGGGGAAAGAGTGACTGAATACATATGGCGCAAGAATGTTTTGGTTTTCATTGCATTCGTATGAAAATTCATATATTTGTAAAATGTCGAGCATGGAAAGCACAAAACGTATTCCACAAGAGTTTTCTTGGCGAGAATTTTCGTTTTGATTTCGGATATGGATCGGAATTTTTTTAAATGCTGATTTATCACTCCTCAGATTTCAATGGCGGTGTGTTCCATGCTATACCAACTAGCCACTCGGCCGGAGGAACAGGAGAAACTGTATCAAGAAATGGTGAGGATTCTTCCAAACCCCGATGAAAAGCTAACCGCTGCCAAATTAGATCAGATGCACTACCTGAAAGCTTTCATCAAAGAAGTTTTAAGGTAAGGGTTTACTGTCATAAATCAACTTTGCAAAAATAAGAGGAAGAAAGAAAAATTAAAACAGCTGTTTTTCGAAATGAAAAACGATGTTTCTCAAAATATTTTGCAATATTCTCGTCCGAAGCTCTCGCATAGCACGTTCCCCATGCATCTCTTACAAATGTCCTCATATTTAGTGTTTAAAAGAGGGTAATTTTTAGATTAATCCCTAATCTACGCTGCTACACTGTTGATTTGGTTTTTAATTATTGATGCAACTGTTCGGCCTCCGAGGCCACACTAGGAAGTATCTTTTCACAATGAAGGCGTTTTTTATGCGTCAACACACTTCTTCAACAAATTATCTGTAGCAATCGCACAACATTGTTGACCGGGTTTTAATGGATGCAACTATTCGGCCTCTGAGGCCACACTAGGGAGTATTTTTTCACAATGAAGGCGTTTTTAATGTGTTGACAATCTCCACGAGCGCTTTCCGTTTTCTCAGCACGTAGCCTTACGCGCCTTCAGTCTCCGATTATGCCTCTAGCTAGGAAGAGGCACCAACAAGGGCACCTTCTTTTCGAAGAGAAATATTAAACGCCACGCCACCAAAAGACGCTTTCTTATTTAAAATTCAAGCTCCAGAGTGTGATTTTCTATGTAAAGCTGCACAGGTATTTTTCAAAATAAAAAAACTTCTTCAAAAATTTTGATTATTGGCTCGTCTTAAGCTCTTGCGTAGCATTTTGCCATCTCTTACAAGTGTCCTCACATGTAGTGCTCAAAAGAGGATGTATTTGAGATTGAGGTTAAACTATGAATTTTATGATCCACCCGATTCGATCCTCTTTCACATAAGATAAAAATGGAAGCAAATTGAATATTTGAAAGATATTTTTCTTAATATGCAGTAAATAAGTTAGTCCCTCTCCTCTTTTTGTTATTATTTTATCAGTAAAGAAAATTGAGCCTGTAACTGAAATCCTAGAACGGCGAATCATATTTTAGGCTGTAAAATAAGAATATATGTACCGTTCAAATTCGTTGATTCATTGACACCCTCCTCTAGGGTGTTCCGTTTTCAGACAGCCATCTCAAAACCTTGCTCCCCGGGCTTTTTCCCATTCCTTTTGGTCCCCAAAAGATAATTCTGAAGTTTCAGCGTCATAGCTCAAGTCTACACTTTCCCCCAAAGCGATGCAAATTTTGGAAGGAATTACATTGGTTTAAATGGGGAAAAAATAGGCAAATTCCCGGAAATACGTTTTTCGGTTGTAAAACGCGCCGAAATGATTTCAGACGTGACCATCTCTTGGGAAGTCATCCAGAGGCCTATTTTGAACGAGAAAATTCCACTTTTGACCCAAAAAGGGGGGAGGGGGGGTCAGGGCGCAGTTAGTTTTGAGGCGCTGCGCGCAGCAAAATGATCGCATTTGACAGTTTTTGATCAACCTTAGAACAGGTCCTTCGAAGCTGAGGAGGCTAATGTATCTCATAAATTGTAATAAAATAATGTACAAGAGTTGTTTTCATCCCTTCAGAACTATTTTCGACCATTTACACTGTTACCAAAATCACTCAAGTACAGAAGTTGATAAACACTAATTCCCTTCCAGGTTCGAGTAAATTTGGCAACAGTGTAAATGATCGAAAATAGTTCTGAAGGGATGAAAACAACTCTTGTACATTATTTTATTACAATTTATGAGATACATTAGCCTCCTCAGCTTCGAAGGACCTGTTCTAAGGTTGATCAAAAACTGTCAAATGCGATCATTTTGCTGCGCGCAGCGCCTCAAAACTAACTGCGCCCTGACCCCCCCTCCCCCCTTTTTGGGTCAAAAGTGGAATTTTCTCGTTCAAAATAGGCCTCTGGATGACTTCCCAAGAGATGGTCACGTCTGAAATCATTTCGGCGCGTTTTACAACCGAAAAACGTATTTCCGGGAATTTGCCTATTTTTTCCCCATTTAAACCAATGTAATTCCTTCCAAAATTTGCATCGCTTTGGGGGAAAGTGTAGACTTGAGCTATGACGCTGAAACTTCAGAATTATCTTTTGGGGACCAAAAGGAATGGGAAAAAGCCCGGGGAGCAAGGTTTTGAGATGGTTGTCTGAAAACTGAACACCCTAACCCTCCTCCCTCCCCCCCCCCATTACTGGCCAAAAGCCACGAAAAAGAATATTGATGGTTTTTTCTTGATTTTTAATTTACACAGGGTATATTCGACGGTCATAGGCAATGGTAGAACTCTGCAAGCAGACACGGTCATCTGCGGTTATAAAATACCCAAAGGCGTAAGTAAAATTTATGAAATCTTCCTGGATCAATCACTTTGAATCAAACCCAGTAAGTAAGTCTTTGGAGAGTGCAAAGTGCTGCCCGCAAAATGGGTGCCTCGTTTACAGTGCAATGCATTATAATGCATTTGCGGCAGAATTTTAATAGACTCGCCTTCGTTTTATTAGGAGAGCAAAAACAGGTACACAGAAGCCAGACCCTATCCACCAGGTGANGGGGGGGGGGGGGGGGGGGGGGGATTGGTATCCTAATACCAGAATATTTCACTAGAACCACGGAGCTGGTTTTTGCGAGAGGTTTTTTTATGTCGAGAAACATTTAATATCTTGGTTAGGAGTTGATTTCAGTAATGCTCGTTGCTTAAATCTCGTTCAACGTGGGTTAATAAAATAATTATCAGAATGCTTAAATTCGTACCTTGTCTACTGGTCCATTACACCAGTGAAATTATTATACCACTTACTTTTTCTTTGTTCCTCATTCCAGGTGCAGCTTGTTTTCCCGACGATTGTGACAGGGAACATGCCCGACTATGTGAGCCAACCGGACAAGTTTTATCCAGAGAGGTGGATGAAACAGCTTGACGGAGGTCAAGAGAATTACATTCATCCCTTCGCGTCACTGCCCTACGGTCATGGCCCGAGAATGTGCTTAGGGCGTCGTTTCGCCGATCTAGAAATGCAAGTTCTACTGGCTAAAGTGAGTAATAACAAAAGTTATTGGTATTTATTTCTCATGAGAATATAATTGTATTTCTCTTTTGGGAAATACAACTTAAAAATGCTCGTGCTGATATTCTGATCCGCACAAGAGTTGCATACGATCAATTTGCGAATCAAATTTCATTCACATGACCTTATATTTGAAGAGATAGGAATCAAAGGGGGCCCATTGCATTATTACGTTTTGATGTTTCACCAAAAATCTTATTACTTCATCTACTAACAGTTTCAAGGGATTTTCTTTGAAAAGCTTGGAGTATTAACACAGAATTTCGAAAGAAAAATTTGCAGCATATTTTAACTAACTGAGGCAATTCAGCCGCTGAGGCTTTCAACCGCGTCCAACAGAAGGGAGCCAAGCCACATCAGCTATTGCCAAATTTAATTGAGCAATTTAATTTTTTACAAGAGAGCGTATGTGCGGATTCCTTTAAAAATTTTGAGAAATTTGCTTCGTACCGTGCAAAGTTTTCACTGAAATTTCCACAAAAATCCGCACAACCGTTTTCATGTAATAAAGTAAATTGCTCAATTAAGTTTGCCAATAGCTCATGCGGCTTAGTTCCTTTCTGCTTGACGCGGTTCATTTGAGACTGAAACTTCGCGCCGCTGTGAAACAATTGAGCTCCTGTGGCGATTACTCCTTCATCTTACGATTTTTATTAAAATCATAAATATTAATGTATTCGAATTCCTTGCCTGTGCAACTTCTCTCAATAAGAGAAATGCGACATATCGACGGCTAAACTCCCTAACTATTCGGTTTGCGACGTTGCAGACTTCCTGTCATACTTTATTTTTTAAATGGAAAACTCACCATTGCTCAATAACTTTTATGATTTTTCTTCTCCGTGCGAGAAAAATGCTTTAATAACCTCGGGAAATGACGTTGATTTGTTCTCCCTAAAAAAAAAAAAAAATAGGAGCGGAGATTTTAAGATACTGAAAATGAGGAGGACACGTGGTTTAGGATATGTATTTCGCGTCCTTTCCGCAACACCAGCCCTCATCAATTAATCGTAACTGATTCTATCTGTTCCAGTTAATTAGATCGTACAGACTTGAATACCACCACAATCCCCTGAAATACAAGGTGACATTCATGTACGCGCCGGATGGAGACCTGAAATTCAAACTAACCAAAAGAAGTGGAACAAATGTATAGTCAATAAAATAAACTGATCTTACCAATGCACATGACAATTAAATATACTTTATCGGTCCAATCTGACGAGTTTTGCTTTATTCCCATATTATTTTTCAATGTCACTACCTAAGCTAAAACTGATAGCTTAACTTGATTTATAAATCATAAACATTCTATACACTATGGCAAAAACTTTGGTAATTTGGAAATCCATGGCCTGCGGCTATAGAACGTAATAATTTAACCGATGCAGTCAGATCATGATCAGATATCTTATTGATCTTTGCCATCGAGATTGTAATTTTAAACGCTTGATAGAAAATACTCCAATTACTCTCTCATCATTTTTTTTTAATACGACCTCGGGAAGGTAGAAGTGAAAGTTCGCTTCGCATTCACTCGTTACTCAATTTGGAGCAGGGCCGAATTAAAGGGGTGGCCACATGGGCCGCGGCCCATGGCGGCAAAATGTAGGGGGCGGCAAATTTTGCAATTGTTTTAAATGTAGGTATCAAAAAGAGAGAGAAAAAAATCTGATTCAAAAAATAAATTACAAACGAGAAAAGGCGACAAAATCTCTCATTTCCTGAGCGTAAAAGCACAGTAATTTCTAATTTTGTCATCTTTCGGTGATACAAGAGACAACACCTTTAATTAGTCGAGTTAAGAGAGAAACCAAACACGCAATTTGACCTGGAACGGAGCGGTGCGGTACGGCGGTAGGCATGAAACGCATAGCGCCTACAAGACTGCATGAATACTTCACACATTGCGTCAAACACATTGCGGTCAACAGCAGTCGGCCTGAAACGCATAGCGCCTACAAGACTGCATGAACACTTCAAGCATTGCGCCAACACAGTGCGGTCGCTCAGCGGCGGAAGTTAAAATTATTAACCACGTTTATGTTTGTTCTTTCATGATTTTTTCGTTCGTTTTTTATAAATGGAAGGTCTTGTCCAAACAGGGATGGATTTACGGAACTGAACGTTTGTTAGAGTTGACAGGGCTTTCACAAAAAATGTGGCCAACACGAGCAAACGCGTCTCATACACCCCTCCTCCACCGGCACGTTCGCTTGATGGTTTTTATAGATCGTATTCGACAGATCACACAGGTGAAATTATATTGATATCGATTGGTTCCATATGTAGCAACAGCCTCAAAAGTCAATTTAGAAATCTGAGGTAACGTGTCTTATGTGATCGAATTGTTATTCTCTCGAGTATGAAATGACAATGAAAAGTGAAATTATTAGGAATTTTATCATTTTCAGCTTTTCCGAATTAAATCCTAAAATTTTTGTTTGAGGTTATGTCCTATTTTTTTGAACCAAACGATACATCGAACCACTGTCGAATACGATCTATTGATGTTTTAAAACGAATGAGGGGGGGGGGCGGAAAAATACAGGCGGCCCATGGGCGGCAAGTAGGTAAATCCGGCCCTGATTCGGAGGTGAAAAACACGTCGTTATAATCGAATTTTTCACAACTTCTCATATTTTGTTGAAATTTCATGACGTAATTTACATGAAAGTTAAGATTTCATTTCTCATTTAGAATTGCAACCCTTGTCGACATCCCTCATAAACAAATTATCTGAAATAAAAAATGATGCAGCTCCTTTGGCAACGTTAAAACATCTCTGATTATGTGCTTTATTCTCTTCGAGAGGAATCAAACAACAATTTTTGAGATTTCCTTTGAGTGTTTTTGAATTCGTGAAACTATTTCACAGATGATAGTTAGGCAAATTCATAGAATATTTTAAATACAGTATGATAGCTAAAGAAAAAAAAAATGCGTAAATCCGTCATATAAACTAAAAGTCAATGGTAAATTACAGAATAGCCAAAATTAGGAGCTCTGACCAAACTTATCAAATTCAAAATCACGTGATATATTTAACTTAAAGTAATAAAAATCAAGTCAGAAAGTTAGCTAAAACTCTAAATGACCATGAGCTGCCAAAAAATTAGTTGCGATTTTGTTGAAATTCGTCTCATGCTGCATTTTCTAAAGAAAATGAATCGACGGCTTTTCATAAAATTCTCTGTGAATTTCCTTTATTCGTTAAAAATATTATGCCAGAGAATTTCAATGAGATATATTTGTTAGTTTTATTTTGGAAAATGAAACACTAATCGAAGATTTTCAAACGTTGAGATGGAAATACGCATTTTTCGACTTTTTTCATCGATATTCTGTATATCGTCACTACCCTTATAACAGTAAAGTCTCCAACTCTCTGAAATTCAGTACTATATAGGAAAACCCAAGTAGCATTTTTCAACGGAAAAATCGGGATATATTGCAATTTTATCGGCGATAAAATCGCTAGGATCATCAACATCTGAGCAATTATCCTCGATCTTATTGGGATAAAATCGCGATATTTTTAGCCCGGCAATTTATTGCTGCATTTTCGACATAAAAATCGCGATAAATGGCGGTTTAATATCGATTTTATCGGCGAAAATTGATCGCTATTTTATGAACCAAAAATTGCGATGTGTAGCAATTTAATCGCCTTATACAGCAATTTTTAATGCGATAATATCTCGATATATTTCCACCGATATAATCGCGATAACCAACCGATAAAATCGCTATTTATCGCGATCACTGCTACTTGGGAAGGGGTAATGCGATCAGAAAATAATATGTATTAGGTATTACTTTAATCGTACCCTCTGGCTCCATTTTGAATGAAGTCTCCCATGCGATGCGCAATGCATAATTGCATAATGCTAGTTTTCCGCACGTGTCCAGGAGTGTAAATAGTGCCTCGACGGCATTCGAATGAACTTACGTAAGACTCATTGCGTCGGCAAATTTTGCAGGCGGTTCTAATATCCAAGAAATCCTTTTAGCCCACGTACCGAAGTCATTTTATCAGGATTTAACGATTCATTTTAATTTTACCTGCCGCATTATCGTAGTTACGCTTATATTGGTTTTATACGTAAATACTGCACTACGGTTTAGAAAATAATTATTAAGAGTCTATATTTTAGGAGATTCACACAAATCTGTTATGCAGAAGCAAGGAATAGAAGAAGCGCAGGATTCAAAAGGTGGCGCCCGTCTCCTGGTCATAATCGGGCCTTTTCATTGGCTACACATCTCACAGTCACGTGATGCGAGCAGTCGGGGTCCACCAAACCGAAGCATCGCCCTCTCTACCACTTCTCTTGCTTACTTATTATCAATTTATCACTTATCAGTTGCAGCACGGTTACAGTCTTTTATCAGTGATCCTTCCGTGATGTAATTCTGAGAGTTTTTACTTTGTCTGATCAAGAATATGTGTAATATGTGTTTAAATATTTGTGAACTCTACATTCTGGTACGGGTTTATCACCTCACAGATCTAAGTTCCTAATCGAATGAATCCAGTAGCTCACCCCGTAATTTTAGCTGTTTATCGCCGTCTCATCAGAACATTCATGAACGCGGCGCGGCGGTAGTGTCAACATGTGAAGGTTTCGGAACGGCATATCATAATATCTTACATATTTAATCGGAAAATTTTTCCACCGGTGTAATATAACTCATACTTTTTAATCCCCATGCAATGTACGTTATGTTACTTTATTTTGAGGTTATGTCGTCTATTTCATCTACTATCATTTGAATGAAAATTCATTCTCAGTTTTTACCTGTTTCACCCCGCGTTTAAATACTTCTCCAACAAATTACTCAGCTCGTTTACAGCCGAGTTAAGTCATACCATTAAAACTGGTTATTCATTCTACCCAAGAATAATCCATGACCACAATAATTGTGTTGTGTTTTGTTGCTGCTGCGCACAAGTTCACGAGCCAATTTCTTTGAAGACAGTCATGGTGTGTAACAAAATTTCTGAAATCTTTCCGTCTAGATGGACCGTACTAGTTTTCCTGTGTTACATTCTTTTGTTCATTTGTCAAGGTAAGCTTAACTTCATATTTATTGTCTTTCTACTATTCCACTCTTCTTGATGATATGATAAGTACGCCCAGAAGAAATTGTTTGCTCGAAAGGAAATTTTGTACTGTAAGTCGCTTAAAGTAGCCTTTTTCTGAAAGCAGTACAACTTTTTGAGGTTGTCTCAGAAGATATTGCCACTGACACGGCTTTATGGATGGTATCAGCCACAAATTTAAGTACAGCAGGGATTCCCCTCAGATACTATCAATGCTATGTTGCATAGAGGTTTAATATCAATGTATTCTCATTGGAGGCAATGGAAGCAGTTCTATCATTGTTGTCTTTTAGATCCAAGTCCATAAAATGCAGAATTCTTACAGTGATGGCTTGACTTAGAGCATCAATTATCTTTCTTGTATTGAACTATATCCAAAGAGTAATTATAGACAACGCCTTCTAATTCTAACAATGAAATTAAATGTATGTACATTTAATATTGCTTCTCCACAATGTAGCTTCAAGAGCATGAACATAAACTCAAGTTGGGTTGTTTTCTAACTCCAAAAGGATTCATTCATTATCAGCACTTATTTACATGTAAACTGTTTGCATGTTCCCCAGCATGATTTTGGTTATAAAAACAATAATGGTGTTGGTTTGTTCCTCAAGTCGGTTTTTTTGTATGTTCAAATAACTCTGCTAATGAGCCAGTAATTTCTGATAAAGGAAGTATTTTTACTGCTGGAGCCAAATTTAAGGCAGCGCAGCAAGTGCCCTAGATCGTAGAATTTGGGTGGCCATAAATTTCAGATCATATCGACGATAGGCTAACTTTCTCATGTATTTGTTAGTGTTGAAATTTATTTTATCAAAGTTGTAAGTCTGAATGATTAGACATTTCTCTGAAGGATACTCAAACCCACACCCCCCAGCCCATCCCCCCCCCCCCCNTAGAACCGCAGAAGAATAGTGCTACAATTTTGTTGGTTGAGGCTTCGATGAAATCTCTAGAATGAGGATATGTTACTAGCTAGCTGAAAGCTAACAAACCATGTCTTATTAGGTGTGGCACTCATTTTCACTCTGAGTATTTACAAGGGAGCTATGCCACCCGACTGTTTTGCAGTCCATACTTCAGAGCAAGATTTAATAATATATATTACCTCTGGTTTTCTTTAACTTTTTTCATTGATTTCTGGAGAAAAATTATGCTCCACATTAGGTATTATTTTCTTAGGCATATGATGTCCTTCAACAATGATGAAGTACCTACTGCTTACTTACTTAATGATTAAAAATGTTGAGATTTGGAATTTTAGCTCTTACACAAGTTTTGATCCCACAGTGGAGGAATGAGAAAATTCTCTATGAGAGGAGTGAAATACATAAACCTACATAAATTATAAATCCAACTGTCCTAAAACAGTCAATTTCTTAATATTTCTAAGCAGTCCATCCCCCCGTTTCCCCCTCTCTCACTACCGATGATCTCCTGGGATTGATCACTATGACCAACACAAGACATTATTTTGCCTAAGCACTTAATTTGCAGAAATTTTTCAGATACCTATTCATGCTTTAAGTAATCACAAATCCTAGCTTCATGCATGTGCTTCATACTTACTCAACTTGCATTGTTTTCTCAGAACACTTGGTTTCTGTTTCACCTAAAAAATGTGGAGATTTCTGAAAATTGGACGAGAATGAGCGAATGCCTCATCAAAACCGGAGTCGCTTCCATTAGCACAATCATAGATTCAACACGGATTATTGACGATGCGAGTCAGTTCTGTGCCAAATTGAGTACGGAAGCACACTGAACTGTGTTGATAACGTCTATCTCCCTACCACATCCCGATAAATTCGCGATGCTTGACATAAATTAAAGTGAGCTCATTGTTAGTCTAGTATAGATCGTAGCTGGTTACATACCCTTAATCCTGCTATCTTCATTAAAAATATTTGGAACCGAGCTGTTAACTATCTATTCTCACGTTGTCCCCCGAAAAACACTGTTTTTCTTCTTTTTTTTTCAAAATTCTCGTATGTTCTATTGACAAAAAAATTACCGTGGGTACCTATTTTTGAATTGGGTGGATAGTAGAGTGATCTAGACTCTTTTTATAACGTCAATCGGACCGTGGATCGATGTCGTTTTATTTTATTTTTTACCCATGGTCAGTGTTCGAAACTGACAAGCGCCAAACGCGCCTAAGAATCGGTCATGGCGTCTGAAAAATGAAAGCCCTGCGCCAATGTGTACCCTCAAAATTGCTCCTCCCCCCCCCCCCAAAAAAAAAAAAAATCTTAATGTTTCTGCTTGGTGATTTTTGGCTCTACCCAAACATACAGCTAATAGTTCTGTAACTAAAATATCTTGCATTGAATTTTTCACTAAATGTACCGTGACATATTGTCAAAAAGTCAATTTGGCCCCAAGAAAAACCTTCGATGGCCCCTAAAAATCAAACTTGATGGGTCACATGGCACCCGGAATTGAAGGGTGGGTTTCAAACACTGTCCATGGTTAATTCAGGGTTCGTCGTTATACGTACTATGCCGTATCGACCACTGAAAAATAAATCGTGAGTTTCATCCATCTCTGGAAATTGGATCGACCGGAAACTGATGCATGTACGAGGTATGTACAGTTGAAAACTGGATTTTTGTGATAACTACCCCACCTTACGTCCGAATAAGACTTTCTTGGACTTTCCTGAAAGCTGGTAGTATAGGGAAGAACACTACTTTCACAAATTTGAAAAATTTAAACTATTTTTGTTGGCACACGGTTCGGAGCAAGGCAACCTCACGAGTGTTCTGCGAGTTTTTAAAAATTCTTGCTAAAAAGTGATCACTTGCTCACAGTCATTGTTTTCAGCAGCTTCTTCAAATTAATGAAAATTTGAAATTCAAATTGAATTTTAGACGTTTTAAACGCAGATCTGAGTTTTGAAAACAAGGAAAAGGTCTAAGCCACAACAGCAGGGATCAAAGAAAATTATTTCATGGAGCTGCGTACAATCAACTCCAGACTCCAGGGAGTTGAAAACTTTTTTTTTTTTTTTCTGCAATTTCATGTTGGCGGGGATTGTTTCGAAGGAGGCAAGCCAAGCTTGGCTTTTGGTACCCTTGCAAGGGTACCAAAACAATGTTTCATCGGTATTTAATTAGCAACAATGGACAATTTTCATTTAAATTATCTGCTGAAATCAATGGCTGTGAGCAAGTGGTTACTTTTTGGCAAGAATTCCTAAAAAATCGCAGAACACCTGTGAGGCTGCCGTACTTCGAACCGTGTGTCAACCAGCATAGTTTGAATTTTTCAAATTTGTAAATGTAGTGTTGTCTCTATAATTATCAGCTTTCTGAAAATTTCAAGGAAGCCTTATTCGGACGTACGATGGGCTAATTATCACCAAAATCCGGCTCCTCATTGAACAGACCTCGTATTACACCCCGTAGACGAAATCGCCCAGTCCGGGTTAGGGGGAATTTTTTGCCCCATCTGTAGACTGGCTATTCCTGTTTCCCAGTGCGCAAACTGGTCGATGTTTTTACCGAGTCCATGAATGGAGCAGTCAGTCCGTGGACTAGTCAGTTAAGTAAAAGTCTGGAAAATTAGCCAAGGGACCTGTCGTTATTTTTTAATGCAATTCATACTCCACCCGACAAAATGTCCCCCATTGACCAATTTCTGAAGAATATTTCGCGAGATTTTTAATATAATTTTGATTGTAATTTAATCTAAAGTGTCTGAAAATTTCAAGAAAAAATATTCACAAGTTACTTCAAAAATAAAAATTTTATCCGTGGAAATTTTGCAACTCTCGAATGTTCTTACGGCGTTCCTCCTTCGCACGACAGTATAATGAGAGCACAATTGCTTACTTACTATCATTAACTCATTGGCTGCGCTCACAATCCGTCATAGTCTTCGGGTCACTGGGCTCTGTAACTGGCGAGTTCTTAATTTCAATTCGAACTTCTTTGATGCTTTTCCATGGCCGCCCAGCGCTACGCCATCTGCTGTGCTAAGGAAAAACGCCGTATGAGCCTTTAAGCGTTGTCAAATTATCTTATAACCTAATCACGAATTTTCGGGAAATTTTACACACATTTTTTCACAATTTGTGAAAGAATTTCGTTTGTAATTTGATCAGAAGTGTCGAAAAATTTCAAGGAAAAATATTCTTGGCTTTCTTCAAAAATAAATATTTTCTGGGAGGAAATCTGGCAACATTCGAATATTTCTACGGCGTTCTTCCTTGACACGCAGGAGCTTACAGAATTTGGTTTTATTATTGTCTCCCGAACTTCTGAGCCATCGTTTTTTCGGTAGGGAAGATTCTTCGATGTAGAAAGTTGTTTTTCTACATCCATATATCTAGATTCCGTCCCAGAAAAGTATTGGTATATATACAACCGATGCACAATGTTTGATAGTTATCATTTGTTTTCTCTGCTGAATGGATGAGGTGTCTCTCCAAATAACGACTAAACGCATTTTTCCCGTATTTGATCCCCGTATTTTCTAAATCGATAACCCTAAACCTCCTCAAGAATTTTGCAACAGTGGGAAGAGCCCCCGAGCCGCCCCTCCCCCATTTCAAAGATTTTTCGATGCACTACAACTCAAAAGCATTTTTAGCATTCCAGAAGATTACGTATACTTGTTATAAAGTTTCGTCCTCTCTACAGCATTTTCGACTGTAACCCTTTTTCTCCCCCATCATCGTTCGCAACGTTGATGTGCCTCTAAAATATTTTAAATTGATCTTAAAAACTTCCCCAATTGTGTTTTCTCTCGTATTTTTACTCGTGTGCAGGAATCTCTCTGCGCACGACACCTTCTGCACCCTTTGCGTCCCCTTTTTTTCATGCAATACTTACGCAATAGATTTTGACATTTTTTACTAATGAAAAATCGTGCATGCTTGTTATTCTAACGTACAGTTCAGGTAGTTTTTGTACTTGATTATTAGGAAATCTTTTCATTTCCTTTGGAGAAAGTTTTACGTGATCTGATCAGACATATTAAATTAATAAAATTCCAGTTCTTTATTCATATCTTAGGTTATTCAATTTGATGGCTAGGAATTATTCATCCACTTTTTTCACAATCTAAACATTTACATTATTTTAATATTGCAATTTGTTTTAAAAAAATCGAAGTACGAACGTTATACAGAAACGAAGATAGAACAGCGATTGATGAACTTAAAATCTTGATGGAACATATTTTGAAAAAGTTTTTGATGAGTATTTTAGCATTAATTATCTCCAAGTGAAATACTTTTCAAGTTGGATCTAGATAAGTTGGAGAAACTGTTTACCTTCGTGGTAATAATTATTTTTTTTCTTTTGTTTCTCGTGTGTTTTAGATGATAAATGCCTAGAAAACATTTAGTATTCTAATCGCACGTCATAGCCGCAAGAAAGGCTCAATTTTCTCTTGAGAAATTTTGACGACCTCAATAAGCATTGAGGTAGAAAATGATTTCAGTCCATGACTTGAGAATGACCACCACGCAAACCAGGAGGAAAAACGCTTCAGAGCAAAGATTGAGTCGTGAAATTTTTTAATTAAATCATTGGAGGTGAAAATCCTCCTTAAAGCCTAAGTCTAGTGAGATGGAAACAAAACTTGGAAAATATAGAAACGAAAAGAAAAGCGGTTTTATGCCGAAGAGCCGAGCAACCGTTCGAGATCAATTCTCGACAGAGCACAAGTGGTTCATATTTTTGTTGTACATCGTCGTTGGGATTCTCTTCAATCAAGGTTTGTATCACTCGGAAAATTCCCAAAGCGGGGTGACAAGTTATTGAAAAATCGGAGAGGTCGAAGAATGGGTCACTAAACCTTGTTTATTTTATTGAATATTCTGAAAATACAATGTGAGTAGATAACGTAGTGATTTTTCCGCCTTTTTATAGAGCCGAGATCGCGGAGAAACCCACTTTTGAAAAATCTAAAAACTGCAAGACATTTCAAACGCACCCGAATGGCGGGAAACTGACGGTGTTGACGCACTGCGGTAGTCATATCGCAATCTTCTCTCATTTTCCTCTGATGTTTGTTTAAATAAAACGTGTTTCAATGTGGAATTGTCGCTCGTTTATTACAGCTAATATATGAATGAGATTCAAGTCTTGAATTCAACAGATATAATTTCGACTTTAGTATTGTTTTCATATACGAAGAGTAGATAGACATTTGACGGAAGTCGTGGAAACCCTTGCCCGCTTCTGATTGGTGCCGGATGACATCATTCGGCGCGGCGCGAAACCGGGGCGTTTTAAATTTGCGTATAAGTTGAGCGATTTGAACTACGCATTTCTCGGTTATTGAGTTACTTGTTCCCGTTTTTAATGAGCCTATCGTGTTCTACGCGTCATTTTCCTTCAGAAAACTATATTCGCAAGTCAAAATTCGTTCATGGTTTAGTGACCCATTTTGTCCAATCTCGGAATTTTGCTGCGGAAACCTCAACTTTTTTCTTGAGGCTGAAGCGTTTTGTTATTTTCAATTTCGCAGTCTCCACGCTAAATAAAAATTCGGGAAATCATTCTCCATAAAAAATTGTGCAAAATAAAACACGAGAATAGAATATTTCAGGGAATTTTACCTGCAAATCCCTGAAGAGTCTTGGAAAAGTCAGAAATTTTGAATTTGAAGAAAACTTGTCACCTTGCATGGGTATTATTGTGTTCTGTGTTCTCATGGTTTCTTGTTAGATAGTTGGATAGGTCTTTGAGTTTTCCTCCTTCTTCTTTATTTTCGTTTTCTGCGTTTTATATTTTAGGAAGAGTTAAACCCAGAATTAATTTTATTGGTTGAGTGTGCAGTTTTTACTCTTTTTTTTCTTAAAAAACAAATACAATTAAAAGTAAGTTTGCGGTCAAGAACTAGAATTTGAGGCTGTACCCATCATTATCACACCCTTGAACTCGCGAAGAAGTATCGGGGATAATTGTACCTAGCAAAATATTTGTTATTTAGTTATTTATTAATTTTTGGGGCCGTTTTTGTTTTAAAATTTTGAAAAAATCTCAATGGTAGAGCGCTTAATAGTAAAAGTCACGCTGCGCGCCTCCCTGCACTGTCCAGTAAGTTCTAGTTCCTAGTTCCTCTCTCATCACCACAGCCCTGGGCCATCATATACATACACCATAGGGAATGTATCTGAGCGGTTCGTTCTAACCATATTTATCAAGTTTTATAAGAAGATGGGGGGGGGGTATCTCTTGGAAATTTTCGAACCCCCTCCCCCCTCCCCCCATGGGCAAATTTTCCAATTTCCCAAGACCAGCGGAAAATTAACCTATTTATCTGTCCTTCGTATCACGGCACAATTTACACAGTAAACACTTATGAGCTGTTATCACCAATTCTTATTTCAATCGCGTGTTTTTAAGACGGAGTTGTAATTTTTCCAACGCATAGCTTACTGATGTCATTTTCCTTGTTTTGATCGCAAGAAATGCTACCTGTAACTTTAATTTGGCACCTCTTTATCTGACTTACATGTTTATTTCACCGATTATCGGAATTAAAAACCCAACATTTCCCTAAATGTGGTAAAACCAAATTATCATTTGCACGATTGCACTTACGCTCCAATACACGATTTATTATTGCTTTGGGTAAAGTGCGGCTTTATCACTTGCAATCTTTCCATGATGTCATCTGTCATGAGGTGGCGTTCATGAATTACCATGCGCTGTTGCTGAATGCAAATACATGCATAAAATAATTAAAACTTGGTGCATTCAACCTCATGAAGACCCTTTACTCTATTAGCCTGGACCTATTGCATCCCATACTTACGATTTTTATGAGTATTCGAGGTTTCGTACACCTGACCGTGGGATTCATGGCGTATGAAGGAAACGAACCTTCCCATGAGATGCGCGTCTGTCCCTAATGGACCGTCACTGGCGCACAGAGAGTGTGTCCTTCATGACCTCACGTTTGTTGATTGCAAGCCGTGACTCAGTGAGTCTTACCCACAAATCCAGTCACTTTTTTACCTCTCATCGGAAGTCCTCGTCTCGAAGTGGCTAGATTCATTCACACCGAAGCTGATCTCGCAATGAACCACTAGACAAGGTACAAAAAGCATTCTGGTGTATATTTCCTCCTCTCAACATTTTAGGTGAACCACATTTTTTGCAGAGAAAATCACGAGAATCAACTGTTAACTAAAATATTTGACGTTTTTACTTAACATTAGTAATGAAAATTTTGAATTCCCTGCTCACCAAAGAACAATTAATAGTTTACTTGAATTAAATTGTGCACTACAACGGTCCTGGCAGGCTTCTTGATCGATCAGTTTTCCATTCCCTGCCCTGACTTTTTCAAAGTGTTAAGAACGTGTTTTAGTTGAATCACCGAGATTTAGTTCTCCGTATCTCCATACCGCAGATACTGTTACGGTAATGTTTGGTGCGCGATTTGACTTAGGTACTGCTTTCATGAGCGGAGGGTTTCTTACGCATTGAAAAACGTTAAATATCTCAGTTAAGATTTGATTTCAGTAATTCTCGTCGTTCAAATCTTGTTCTAGGTATGTGAAATTATAAAGAAGAAACACATATACGAATGCTTAAGTTCGCATCTTGCCTAGTGGCTCATTCATTGGTCTTTTCTTCAATTTAGGTCCGGGCCCTCATGTTCCTAAATTTCGTCCGTTGTAACCGAGAATCTCTGCTCTTGCTTTTCGGGGCACGGACATTTCCGAGAAATGTTTCACCGTGTACTTGAATTGACCTGAAAGTAATTTCGACTCCACTTACATTTCCATGTGCTTAATCGGTTAATGAATAAGCTCGTATCTATGGAAGACTTTCTCGAGTGGACCAAGAGGTCCGAGAAATAAACACTTCACATGATAGCAGTAAGACAAGTGAATTCGCATTAGTTTTCGCGAATCCCGTCTGAATTTACTGAATACTTACTCCGCAATATTGGCAAGGAACGTGTTTTAGGGTCGTATTCATCAGTGGCGAGGCGTGAATGATCGATTTTCGATAATTCCCCATTTGAAGCTATGGTAAAGAATCGATTATTAAGGTGTTCGTTGCGAACACCCAGCTAATCGATCCTTTTCCGTAGGTACATATGGCAGATCAATCTATAAATCGCAAAGCGCGCCACGCCTCTGGTATTCATAAAAGTTGTTCCTTGAACATTATACTGACATGAATGCGGAGCGGAATATATTCTCCTTACGGAGTAACTTTCACTATCACGGAGCGAAATCTGCTCTTTTTGCGGAGTGTCGTACGCTTTTCATCAAGGTTGTCACCAGCCAGGCAATACCGGGAACTGTCAAAGACTTTCAAAAAGTCAGGGAAAACCTGGAAATATCAGAGGAAAAGACGAAAATTTTCAGGAAAAAATTGTTAGGTCATTTTTATTTGCTTTCTAGAACGAGTTGAACGTTTTGAACAGCAAATTTTGCCAGAAAAATACTTCTAATTCTGTATTTTTAACCATCTGGTATATCTTCATTTGTCAGGGAATTTCACTAAAATGTGTCAGGAAAATCAGGGATATGTCAGGGAATTTCATTTTCTAAATTCTGTGGCAACCTTGTTTTATATGGTGCTAATTTACTTGGCATTCATATTATCACTCGGGATTTTTAGGCGCCATATAGATTCCCTAGCCGAATTTCACTCCTCGATTTTTAACAGTGAATAAGTACGGCCTTCGTCTTCGAAACTAGACGTAGATAAGTTAACTATATGCGTGGGAGAGGCGTCGACAGCATGTTGTCTTACGTTTTGTCATGTTGAAGTGAGTCGATCCTTAACCCATACCGACGGATGCCACGTTAGCGGCGACAGGTATTACTAACTCAGCTACATCGAATGATGAGTGAAGATCCCCGTCACAAGTTCACAACGCGGCAAACCCTCAAAAACCGTTACTTGCGTCAATAATCAATATTTATCCTTCGTTTCGAACACCGTCCCTGCTAAGGATGAACGCCGCATGAACATTAAAGTGTTGCCTCTGCCCGGACAAAGCATGCTTTTTTTAGGAGACGCTATGCGTGTTTTCCTTGAAATTTTCAGGTATTATAGATCAAATCGCGGACAAAATTGTTTGAAAAAATTTAGAGAAAAATGTTCGCAATTTTCCCGGTAAATTACTTTTTTATCGGAGGAAATATGGCAGCATCTGGAAGCTCATACGGCGTTCTTCCTGAGCCCTCACTATCGTCTCTAGCTGGCAACGAGTCCGTGGTTCTATGCGTTTATTGCTGGTGCATCGCCCGGAAGCGGGGTTTTATGGTTTCACTTGGATCCGTCAAAGCAGCTGCGTAAATGGGAATGTTCATTTTCACGACTCATCTCTCATACGCCTAGCTCTCTTACGCCTCGTCGTTGAATTTTCCCGTGCATTTCTGTGAGGGTGAGCTCGAAAAAAGTCATAGTACTTAGCTTTTTTGTTCTTGATGAAATAAAATCAATTTTTTTAAAAAAAAAAAAAAAAAAAAAAAAAAAAAAAAAAAAACCCGCTAAACCAATCATAAATTTATTTTCTACGAAATACATTCCGAAAATAAATGATGAACAAAACAACAGGTTTTGGGAGACTCTATAGTGCGACTACCAAAACGGCTACAATTTTTGCGGGAGGTCATGCAGGGCAACTCCGTGACCATAAGCGAATCAACGGGTTTTTCATACTAACTTTTGAGGTTTCCTTTCTTCCTCCACAATTTTAAAGGATTTTACCTACTGCATGATCAAAGTTCATGGAAGCAGAATCGACACAAAGGGAGTGTAAGTTATGCACGTAGATGTTTCGCCTTCATTTCTCCCGGTAGGCCAGAGAACATCCTCCATTCTTTCCTGTGGCAATAGTTATCTATTCGAGTATGTCGTTTTATGACCCATTTTTTCGTCATACTAGATTATTTTGAATGCCACTCAGCCATTTTGGAGGTAACTCAGTCGTTTTTTTTTCCTCTCTCCAAGTTTCAATAAGGGTTTATAATAAGCATCTGTAAAGTTTAAAAATAATATGCAATCCCAAGTTTATTTGGGGAAGCAGTGCGTTTTTAGCAATTCAGAAAATGTAGCCGGTGAAAAATTCAATATCGGGGAGACCTTTGAAATTATGCAACTTAATCATCTCCTTTTTGTCTCAAATTGCTCACCTGAAAAATCAAGTTTTTATCACGTAATTCAATTAGATAAATCGATTGATGGGTGCATGATTCCCGCAATCCAAACGCACGCACATTTATGAATGTTGCAAATAATAGTTGATCATTGCATTTTCTTCAATCTGTAATAGTGTGCCGTAATATCTGATCTGATAATCAAACTTTGAGCAATATCGAAGCAAAATGAAGGGGTTTGAAGGCCAGCACTCCAAAAAATGAGTAGCAAAATTATGGTTTCCTGAATTTTGGTGCATGATCTGCCAAAGCAACCGTTAAAATTTTAAAATCACAATTTTGGCCCTGATGAAGTCCTCGCCAATAATAATTAATTTTGCTCTAAGTTTGATTCTCCATTTGAGACCTCATACACGTCTAAAACTGCATGTTGGGGGCTGTTTTTTCTCATTGGGTTTCTTGTTTTTACTCCGACGTAAAGGCACATCTTTGTCCGGCGGCCACAAAACTTTGAAGCCTTTGGATTGGTCGAAAAATTACACGCTTATCAACTAATCAGGAGCCAGAATTTTCCTCCGAGATTTTTAAGACCTCTGGTGATTTCTGCTCTCGACCACTCAGAAAGGAAGAACTTATTGCTACTCAATCCTGGATAAAGTTGTCCCTACGTCGTCATAATTATCGGTTCGGTGACCGTCAAACTAACTATTTTTTCATTTGACCGTACACGAGGGAAGGAACCTGTTTCCCAGGACTGTAGCGAAATTCTCTATTGAGCGACTTTTGAGAAAATTCGTATGTTGAAACGGCAGAAAACTTTCTGTAATGTCTCGAAATTAAGTTTCAAGCCATTTAATTCATTTTTATTTTATATTTATTTATCCATTTATTTTTTGCCAAAACTAGCGTGTAATTGCATTATAATTTGACAATTTCTTGTCTGTGTAATAAATTAGAATTTCGAATTGCTTGTTTTTTTTTTTATTTCACCCGGTTTTTCGCTATCAATAAATTAAGTTTGTATTTTTCCATACTACTAGGTCTTTTTCTCGTGGACGGTTTATTTATTTTTATTTTATCCACTAAGAATATGCTCTCATTAGGTACTATTACTAAAATTACTCTGGGAATTTTCGGTACTTCTTTCATGATATCAGTGATCTGATCTTTCATTCGACACGTTTCTTTGTATCTAATTCGTTATTTTATTTATTTTTTCAGGGCTTATCACAACTGCATCACAAGAAGCTGACAACAAATATAAGTACAATACAACATTGGCTGTTCTTTTTACGGAAGTTATCAAACTTTTCGCATCAATCCTCCTTTTCTGGCGAGAGTAAGTTTTCCGCTCTCTTTTTCTTTTTTGCTCTCTTTTTTTCTTAATTCTGAAATACTTCTTCCTTCTTTTGAAAACTCCTCTGTGCGCCACCTCAAACCAAAAGATTTGGAAACAACCATCTTTGTAACCCTTGAAACTTGAGTCTGATCTGATCATCTCAAACCGTCACATTGACTTCGGTTTGATTTGATGATTTTAGGCTTGTTCCTTGTCAACATTTTCATGTAATCTCTTTAATATACTAATGCCAGCAACTCAATTTAGAGTTTTTTGGCTTTTAAGGTTGACGAAGGCGTGTGTAATCCCTATCCTCCTCTTATGGTTTTGATGATTTCGAGTACTCAAAAGTTAAATAAAATAGATATATTTCAGAGGATAACAAACATTTGTCATTGGAAAGATAACAAAGTACCAAATCGCAACCAAAATCAGCGATAAAAGTTAATGTCATACCTTTCAAGGTAGGACTGAAATAATTGTAAAATGTCAACCACCCAACAATTTTTTCAGTCCTACAAATATATTATGTCGTCTTCAACTTTTATTTTCTTTTCTTTAACCAATGATTCTGTTTTGCTCTTCCTTACTTTGACTTCTTGACAGAAGACTTTTGGATTCATATTCGCTCTTAAAAATAATATGTCTCTTATTTTCTGTTTCAGAAATGCTCTATCTTCACTTTGGACCCAAACAGTTACCCACAAAAAGTGTAAGTTTTCCATCCAATACATTAAAGTTACAACCAAATGACTAGCAAACCAGAGCTTGATGGATTGTATCAATTTTTTCAATCTTTAGAAAAGAAAGAACATCCAAAGTACTGATTCAGTTATGATTTTCAAATTATGATTTCCTGTTTGTAGATGGAATACCTCGGGTTATCTAGAGATAGTGATTTAGTCACTTGCTGAATTTTGTCACTGAATCAGAACCAATTTAGTAACAGGTTCATAAAATTCGTGTACATTTTTTCTCCCAAAATGAATTACCTAGTTTGTAGAATTTTTCCCTTCGATACAAGAATACCACAATCTAAAGAAGCCAATCAGATTCTAGCTTATCGGCCAAGTGGCCATTTGATAAAACTGTTGAATTGGATTATAGCATCTAATTTCTTACGGCCTTTTCACTTATCACTTAGTAAGTTGGTTCAAAGCTGTGTCATAAGTTTTCATAAAACGTTTAAAAAATGTATTTCAGCCTATCAGCACTGTTAAGTGAGGAGATAAACATCCAGCAGCTTTAAATGTGGCTACACTCACCGCATAGTAGATTTTTTCAATACTTCTAACAGATTTCCAATTCAAGATACTCCTGACTCTTCGCAAATAGCTTTGAGATGTTAATTGCCTATTACTCAAAATTGTTACTCTGTCACTTTCAAAGTATAATATTTAACGGAAAGAACCACTCAGAGGAAGGGGGATGGTGGCAATGTGAACTTAAAAATGCATTGCCTCTTGCTCTGCAACTGAGTTGACCTACTCTGCAAATTTACTGGTACAACTGCAACATTTGAATCTATACTTCCAAGTTTCACAATTTTTCCCTCCCAGCGCAATTACACAATATGTTTTCTCTGCTTGTTTCAGTGATGTGGCTATACTTTGTACCATCTCTCCTATATTGCCTCTACAACAACTTGTCATTCATAAATTTGTCTGCCTACGATCCGACTACTTACTTTTTACTCCTGCAGCTCCGAGTAGTCATCACAGGAGTTGTATTTCAGGTAAACTTCTATTTCCTATCAATTTACACTGCACTAATTCATCAAGAAAAGTTCCTTCTCTGATGAAAAAATCCATCTCATAGAATTCGTCTCAGTAGAGTTTTTTGGTAATATTCAGAGGCCAACCAATTTTGCCACTTGTCTAACTCTTGTGCAGAAATTTAAGTGTATACTACTTTTTCATTGGCAATTTTTTTCTACTCAATCCATTTAGGCTGGAAATTTGTCTTGCACAACAGACTAATGAACCAAAGGGCATAAACTTTCTCTTTGACAGATGGCCTGAAAAAAAGAAGAAGAAAAACAGAAGCATAAAATATATCAATTTTTGCAAATGTTTTTTGCGTAAGCAAAGTATCTTGCCTTTCAAAGCAAGAGTATACCATATCAAGCATGTTTAATCTATTCATTCAACTATAACAAAACTAAATTCCGCAAGAATCAGCACTTATTTTTCATTAACTTAGGGCTCATTATTAATTTACAAATCTCTCTTATCCATCTCCTCTCCTAAATTTTACATCTTATTCTTGAAACACAGAAGAGCAGCGGATCGGTTTTTGATGGAGTTTAGTTTCTGAGGTCTGAATAGTGTAAAAGGGGATGGGGATTGTAGGCTGAATATGAATGAACCAAACCCCCTTTTGAAGATACCCATCACTTAGTTTCTAAACCTCTACACTGAGATTTTATCAAGATAATTATTCTGATCAAAATCTCTCTTATCGCCATTTTCTAGGTCCTGTTCAAAAAGCAATTAAGCTGTGTGCAATGGATATCCCTCATTGTGTTAACTCTCGGCTGTATGTTGAAAGAAGTTAATTTTGAATCTCTGTCTGATGAAGTACGCAAGAAGGAAGCCCTGAACAAAGAAACAGGGATTCACCTCAGTGTACACTTACTTCTCATCATTGTGCAAGTAAGTACATTTGTATTATGGACCTCCTCAGAAAATGCATTAATGAGCTCAAGGAAAAGTCAATTAGTGAAGTAATAAGCAAAGCCGTAATGACAATATCAACAAGATTTTCCAATATTGTCATCCTGGATTTTCTAATGATGTTCTCAAGTTTGTTAATTCACTGATCCATCAGAGAACACACAAAAATTGGCTCAGCTTCTTAAAATAAAGTAAGAAAAAATCTCAAAATTGAAGGAGCTCGGTAAATATTCCACAACTGGAATAATAAAATTATCCAATGGATCTTAGTTTTTCTGTTTTTCCCGATTTTTTTCGTTTTGGTAATAAAACATATTCTTTTCAGGTTCTATGCTCATGTTTTGCGGGAGTATACAATGAGTTTTTACTGAAAAAATCTGGAGCCGATGTGGATATCTATGTCCAGAATGTGTTCATGTATTTTGATTCAATCATCTGTAATCTTTTGGTTCTACTTTATGAAGCAGACTATGATTCTGTGTTTTCGGATGAAGCTATCCAGGCAATTTTCCAGTATAAGGTAACTAAATATACGTACATCAATGCTTTGCGGCAGAGTCTTAATTTTCTCTTTTTTTCCTCATGTCATTCATTGGCTTTATTCCTAATTTGATGGCTCTTCCTTTAAGATTAATTTTACTTTCCTTCTGATTAAAATTGAGTGAATCAAGGTGTTACTGTGAAAGTGATTTCTTGGAGGTACATAGTTCGTAAATTTCGTTTAATGTCTGGAAACAAAAAAGCATTGTCCTCATCATCATTATTGTTAAAATTAATAACCAAAAGTCTTAAAAAAATTTTGGTATCTTTCAGTTGTAAAAGAATGTGTAGAAAACCGCTAAAATAGTCAAAAACTTAATAGATTTACTCGGATTAAAAGGGAAACAACTTGAAAATGTTTACTCCTAACATTTGGAGCATAAGCGGATTTACATTTTCATAGAAAAAATTTTACTGCTGAACCTAACAGATTGAAAAGGCATCTGCGCGTCAATAACATCATCCATAAACTTAATCATTTTTTTCTGATCCTGCTGTCATTTTTATCCTCCAGTTTCTATCGTACAGAAAATAAATTATACTCACCTATGATTACTCAGCACCTTCAAGTTTTTTTATAGTATGAAAAAGGTAAAAAGAGGATTTTTTTTCCTAAGACATCAAATTATATTCTCTGTTATGTTTTTTCCTTTATTTGTTTTATTGCTGCAAAGAAAACAAAATTTAAGTAATTTTAGGTGATCTTAACCAAAGAAAGTAAGTTCTTTACCGTACTCTGGTGTGTTACTATCAATTAAAATAAAAAAGTCTGAAATTATTTAATGAAATGGACAATAATTCGAATACACCCCGTAAATCGTTGCTCCTCTGACGTGAGGGTGTATCTCGATGTCTACATGGGCCCTAGAAAGCATGAATTTTTATGTGAAACAGGGCTATTATGGAAATGCAGGTACGCCCCTCCGTCAGAGGGGTAATGAAAAACTGGTCTCAACATCCTTTCTTAGCATTTATTAAATCCTCACGTTTAATGTATAACACTTTGTCCATAATTTGAAAAATTATCTCAGATCTTTGAGTTTAAGTATCCATATTTATGAATCAAAAACTAATCTTTTTTTGTGTATTTGTTGCCAGGCCCTTTTAGTGATGGTGAATAATGCAGCCATTGGAATAGTTACCAGTTTCTTCTTAAGATTTTTAAATTCAATACTCAAAACTTTTGCCTCAGCATTGGAATTGGTGTTTATAGCAATACTGAGCTGGTTAATATTTGATATCCCTGTGCGAATCAACACAGCCTTATCTATTCTAGTCGTTATTACAGCTGTTTATCTGTATGCTCAAAACCCGGTTCAGTCGCCCGCCCCTGCGTTAACCAAGACTTCATCAACGGAGTCTTTAGTCTCGAGTAATAAAAGAGCAAACCAGAAAATAAATGTTTAATGTTTGAACGTGATGTGATAAGAATATATATTTTTGAGTCATTTGTACTTTACGTAACTTGAAATGGTGATCTTACTCTAAGTACATTCTAAGGTAACTTTTACTCACTTTCCTAATCTCCAGCACCTACAGATATGGGCCATACGTAATTCAATTTTTCATCTCTGTATCAGGTCAGTTCTGATAATTGTTCTTTGAGTTTAGAAGAAAAGAAGTGTGTATTGCTGCACCATTTTGAATCATAATGTAGTAAGTCTGACGATAGATTCTGACGTACAACAATTTCTCTAAGCCGGACATCACACTTGAAATGTAATTACTTGCATTTCATATGCAACTTAAATTAAGCTGTTTAGGAGAGATACTTTTGACAGTAGCTTGAAAATGTGCTCCTGAGAGTTGTTAGCGGACCAAATTTTATATTTTTTGTATTGATGATGTTTGTGATTGTATGAGAAAAGTCTCAGAGATGAATAGTCGTACAAGGCACAATGTGAGACAGTCTCGCAGCATATTGGATGAAATCAATACTGAATAATTATTGGTATTTTTTTGCCTTAAGGGAGCCTAAAAGATGTGCAAAAATTGTGTGATTAATCTGCTTTAGTGAGGACAAGAATGTGTTTCTGCTGAGTGCACTTAAACGATAGCTACATTACATTGCGTTGGAGATTAAAGAGAGTAAATGAACACTGCATTTTATGCGATTGTTTTACCAGTTCAAAATACTTTAAACAGGCTATTTTATCAGTTCCTTTTTTGTGTGGTGTAATCTTCGTTTTTTCATCAAAAATAAGGTGTCAAAATTTTTCTTCGTTTTATACTTTTTGTAGAAGCATAGAACTCTGTTCTTCATCTCTGTAACTCACTGCACCGTTGTTTATTCCGAGAGATAACATATTTAGTTAAGAATGTGGTAAGTGAGTAAAGTCTATGTAGTTCCTCTAATTTATATAATTCTTGCTTACTTGAATGTATTCATATCCTTTTCAATTTTTCATTATTTTGAAAGAAAAATTGAAATTAATATTTTGTCTTAACCCACCTCTCAAGCAAAATATTTTGTCATCACTGAAATTATATTTTTAAAATATGCGTATATTTTACAAGTTACCATCATTATGTGGGAGAAAAATTGAAGTATATATTATTCATAAACTTTCTCTTATTTATTGTACAACCTCTCTACTACTGCACCGCTGTTTTGAGCTTCCTCTTATCGTCAGGTCCAAAAAAGAACAAAAACAAATAGGCAATTAAAATTTCACTGCATCAATCGTGATATACTGGTAATCCGTCCCTCACGGATGCGTTCACATTCCTATTTCACACTTACACGTTCCTACCTACACGAACGTGTCTGTATGTGTCTGATAGATTATGAGTCCAACAATTGATGCACAAAACTATAATTAAATTTTTTTTTTTTGTCTTTTAATACATCTGGCAATGAGTGAAAACTCTAAACACCTATTGTGTAGTAACAAAGTTCTATAATGAAAAATCAGTAAGAAAATGTCAATGCACAACATGTAAAAGGGCGTGCCAATAAAGTGAAACAAAGCGACTCAAAAAATTGAATCGTTGTTTTGGAAGTCGTGTTAAACAGGGTCCTTTTTCCATTACTTATATTACTTTTATAAATTTCATTCTTTCCTTCTTTTTTCAGCGAATGTTGACGATGAAACTACATAAACGTGTATTTCATTATTTTTTGGCTCCTACTTTATTTAATCATAGGAAAACAAATCAACTGCACCAGTGCTTGAGTTTTCATAGAATATTTTTTACACAGAGAAGGAAAATCAGGGTAGTTTTCAAGAAATGATATCGAATATTATTCTGTTCAAAATATAATTTATGAAAGGAAATCTGCAATGTTGCATATTGAGATACATCTTTTTAAAGTTTCCTCTAACTAACTTCACTTGCAGCCTCTAAGTAAAACTCTTTTTAAGGAAAACATATGCTAAAAGCAGTGAACCGTACCTTTGTCTACAGGCCTGGTAGACATTATTTTACTCTCCATGGCTTGTGAGACATTTTTATGAATAATTTCACTCTTCCTTTTTTTCTACTTTTACTTGAATGTGTCATATATTTACTCATTTCTCATATCAATGGCCAGTGTGCAACCATGTATCTCCATAGCAAAGTTTCAAAATTTTGACTCTATTTTATTTTTAAGGAGAAACAAGTTAACTGTCTAGCTTAAATTTTTTGAAGAATATTCTACTAACGGAGGAGAAAAATCGAGGAAATTTTCAAGAAATTATAATAACTAGTTTTCCAAAGAAAAAACAATTTATGACAGGAAGTCAGCAACGTCGCGCACAGAGACTCGTGATTTTGCACTCTGACCATTACTATGCTACTTATCATTACAAAATGCTCCTTTGTACAATATCAGCCATTTTCATCCCAATAATTCTACTTATAATTGTACTCACTTTAAATATTGGAATGTACTTTCTATTTATACTGCTACACCTGATTCTCATACCTATTTGTTCACCTCTTTTTTTTTTTTGCAAAAGTATCTACTCTGAAAACCAGTATTTAAGAAATTTTATTCACCGACTCCCGTTTTTCTTAAATAGAGGTTTTTTTTGCCAAATGTAGAATAGCCTCAATCAAAATTTTATTCGTGTTAAGTTTCACATTTCTTAATTTTACTGTTGAAATTTATCATTAAAATTAGGTTTTTATGGCTATCTTTTCGTAATGCTATTATTTTATGCTCGCCCCGTCCCTCACTCTCCGTAAGATTATTAATTTTCTTCGATTTATGTGGGAGATCTCTATCTTTTTTCAGAAATACCAAAAAAATTCCCAATGAAGAGACAATTTTTTTGCAATTGGAAATACAATTTCTAGTTTTGGTATCTTTTTTTATAAGGAGTTTCTCTGAAGGTTTTTCCCCATTTTGTCTTTTCCTTAACAAACTACACTCGCGTATGACTGACTAGTGTGATCTCTTTTTGATGCACTGTCATTTAGTAGTGAAGTATCACAGGGATCAACAATATTAGTAGTACCTCTTTTATGATAAGCAAGTAGAATCTGTCTTTTAAGCGCCAAACAATATTTCTTAAGATATTTTTTAAGATTAAGAATCAAGGTGCTGTTAAGTCCATTGGGACTTTAAATTCGTCTAAGATGAGCTATGAGCTTCTAACCCTCCAAGCACAGTTTTTTGTCTTGTGCAACCACGCATTGTCATTAATTTATATGCTTTCCTTTTATCTTACTTCACTGAAACTTTCCACTATTTGGTTCTTTCCTACTGAGATTATTATGTTACATCTCAAGATTCTTTCTATCAAAAATTGTGCTAAACTTTGATTTTTGCAGTATATACTTTTACCCACCCTTATTTCTTTGTAGATATAGCTATATCTAAGTTAATTTGATGTTGGTCATTCCTCCCTTAAATACCAATGTATATATATATCGCATTAAGTCAAGTATTATCAAATTGTTAAAATAATTTCTCTCTTTTTCATCATCAACTTCATTGTTGACTGATGTAAATTGCTGTGTTTCGTCCCGCGGTGTTCTTATCTTCGGAAAAGAAGATGACAGAGCTCGCTCATTTTTATGTTTTTATTCCTGTTCTTAATTTTTCAAATATTATTGCCAATGCTTGTGAAAAATGTTTGTTGTTTTTTCATCTATTAATGAAAATAAATTGGCATTAAAGCTATATTACCTAAATGTATTTTTTTTTTTTTTTAAATTTTAACATTCACTGTAGAGTGTAGATATCTGAAATTTGTGGTGATTAGATGAAGTTAGAGCATTGAAATTATAATCAATTTTACATCTCTTTTGAAAAATTCGGATTTAGGGATTCATCAAGCTAGGGAGCAAGGGAAATCCTCCCATCGCATGGCTGTAGATTTCCAAGAATCCTTTTTGTAATAAGACAATCAATTTGAAATTGAAGTAACAAAGTTTTAATAACAACTTGACGCAAGTACATTTTGATCACATTCGTATAAAATAATAATATTAAAGCCAAAAAAAAAAATGTAAATAAGTATAAAAAATTTCAAGTACTGCAATTAGCAGGGCGAATTGTTGGTCACTACAGAGAGCCTGCGTAAATCGTCACTGCTCCAATTTAGGGCTGCTAGTATGAAAACTTCCCCTGTTTCCTAGCTAGCCCAGTCCAAATAAACTTCGAAGTCATAGTTAAATAACTCGAAATCTAGCTTATACTTCTCGAACAGCCTATAAATATTCGTCTTTGAAATTTGTGAGAAATATTTTTTCCTCTCTTCACCTGTATGACTAGAATAAGGTTTCGCTTGAGAAGCACTTCTCCATGGAGTTTTGGAGACATGCTGCAAATCTGCTGCTTTGACTATATAAATTTGATCCTCCATCATCGTTTCCAATTTAGCTATTATTTGGTACTTCAGGAGACATGGAGTACAAAGCAAGTAATATGGAGTTAACCGGGTCATGCTCCCTAAAGTAGAATCAAACTCGGTATCCAAAATGTAGCTGCAAAAAACAAGACAGAAAAAGGTCGTTGTTAAATTAAAGAAACTGCCTAACGGTGTGAATTGTAATCGTGATGGATTGTAAAAACTTCTTTGTTGTATTGGTTTAGCGACCGAAATTCAGGAGCCAGGGGTGGGGGCTAAAAGAGGAAGGAAGAGAAGGAGAAGGAAAGAGAGAGATGAAGATGAAAAAGGAAAGAAGAAGAACAAAAGAAGAAAAAGAAGAATGAGGAAGAAAAGGATGATGAAGGAAATGATGATGAAGGAAAGAGGAAAATGAAAGGGAGAGAAGAAGAAAAGAAAATAAAGAGATAGAAAAAAGGTGAGAAGAAAATAAGATCTAAGAAGCAGACAGAGAGAGATAAAGATGAAGAAAAGAGGAAAAACAAGGAAAGACAGTGAACAGGATAGGGGAAGGAAATGAAGAATAGAGAAAGGAAAATAAGAATAAAGATAGTAGGAATGAGAAAGTAGAGAAGGATAAGCGAGGGGAAGAAAAAAGAGAAAGAATGAATTAGAAAGCTAGCTCGCTTAATTGGAGTACATACCAACAAAAAATATCTTTTTACTAAACACAGGGCAGGATTAAATTTTCGCTAAGTCAATTTGCCTTCAATTTTCAATGTAAGCAACACGAGTCCTTCGTGGTCAAATAGTTGCATCGTGAAATGGCTCGCTCATACTGGACAAACACAAATAAAAGCTTTTCACGCAACGGAAAGAGCGGTTACTTAAATGTCATGTCAGTTTGCCTTCAATTTTTAATGTAGGCAAGACGAGCTCTCTCGTGGTCGAATAGTGGTATCATCTCCTATGTGTAACAGTCAAACAATCCTGTTTTCGAATTCGTTTTAGATACGATAACATAAGAAGACAAAGAAGTGAGGAAGGAGGAAAAAAGAAAGAGACGGAAATAACTTCCACTTTTTTCTTACTGCACTCAACATTATCAAAGTTAAAATCAGGGGCGGACTGGCCATGGGGGCGGGGAGGCGATCGCCTCCTAACAATTTGCCGCGGAAGTCCCGAAGGGGCCCCCGCGGCCAATTTTTTTCGAGTCATCGTTTTTTTCCCCCGTAATGTTGTAATTTTCCTATCCTTTTCAGTCACTAAAAGGCCCCAAAATCCTGGAAGATTTGTCTCTAAGAGACATGAAAGGTTACCTAGAGCTATGTGATGAAGGGGCCCCCGAAGAATCCTGAGAATGGGTTATTTTGAAGTTCAAGAACTGTAGAATTTAATTCCAATAATGCTTAAAATTGCGTTTAAAAGTGAAAAAAGTGTGAAATTTTCAAAAGTTTTCGGAGGAGGGCCCCCGGACCTTCTTAGAGGGGCCCCCGAAAGACAGGGGGGCCCCCCACATTTAAGTCGCCTCCTAACTTCTCGACTACCAGTCCGCCCCTGGTTAAAATGTTTCAAATAAAAGTTTAAACAAATTTAGGAAGTGAACTTATTTTACATCAATGTGGTTAGAATTGTATCCATCAGGTAACATGGCACAAGTTTTCTATAGGATCTGTAACACAGTGAATCACTGTTGTAGGAAATGAAATAATTCCAACAAACACACCAAATACATCCAACATGAATTAAAACAACCTAGGCAGATTACCTTATGAAGTCTTGAAATGAGGCCTTCTGGTGCTGGAAATCAAATTCTGTAGAATGTTTCTCAAGTGGTGTGTCCTTCATTGCCTTGTCTCTTGAGTTAATATTATGAGCCTGGTCTCTCTTTGATTGCACTTGGTTCTGGGTGAGATTGCTTTTTGTTCGTTGTGCGCTTTTCTTACTCTCCTTGTACAGTGAAAGAATTCTCTCAAAAGGATGGCTGACGACCATAAATTTCAATGTAGTTTGCAATGCCTGTTAAAAATGCTTGCATTAATTAGTATCTGAACGAGTAATTTCAACAAAAAGCAAATGAAAGTAAGCAGGCGTTTGTCCGTGAAACTGAACTTCGCTGGGTTTCGTAGAAGCAGTTTATAGTCCGAGAGCCAGACGACTTTGAGTGACAAACTCGGGATACATGTTTTGACCCCCTAAATCGATAGCCTTGCATGCACTGAAACGGAAAATGTTTGTCTGCCGCCCTCTAGCCTGTGCCATCACCCTCATCTAGGCCCTCAAAGTGGTCCAAAAAACACCATCTGGTGACAAACTCCTGACGCT